GAGAACCTGATGGTGTTTAACACTGAAAAATGCAAGGTTCGCCACCTTGGGAGCAAAAACCTGCAGCATCCCTATAAGCTCAGCAGCGCTACGCTGGCTAGCACTATAGAAGAAAGACTTGAGGGTCATCATTGACCACAAGATGAACATGAGCCTTCAATGCAATGCTGCGGCTAGTAAAACGACCAAGATGCTGGCTTGCATCCATAGATGCTTCTCAAGCAAATCCCAAGACGTCATCCTCCCCTTGTACTCGGCCTTGGTGCTTGGTGAGGCCGCAGCTGGAGTACTGCGTCCAGTTTTGGGCTCCACAATTCAAAAAGGATGTGGAGAAGCTTGAGAGAGTCCATAGAAGAGCCACACGCATGATCAGAGGTCAGGGAAGCAATCCTTACGATGACAAGCTGAGAGCTATGGGGCTCTTTAGCCCGGAAAAGCACAGGCTCAGGAGTGATCTGATGGCCACCTACAAGTTTAATCGGGGTGACCACCAGTATCTGGGGGAATGTTGGTTCACTAGAGCGCCCCAAGGGATGTTGAAGTCTCACGGCTATAAACTACTGCAAGACCATTTCAGGCTGGACATAAGGAAGAATTTCTTTACTGTCCGAGCCCCCAAGGTCTGGAATAGCCTGCCATCGGAGGTGGTTCAAGCACCTACATTGAACACCTTCAAGAGAAATTTGGATGCTTATCTTGCTGGGATCCTACGACCCCAGCTGACTTCCTACCCCTTGGGCAGGGGGCTGGACTCGGTGATCTTCCAAGGTCCCTTCCAGCCCTAATGTCTATGAAATCAAGTCAAAATTGAGCTAGCCTCATTAGGCTGTCATAGAAAAATGGGTTAAACATTTCTCAGGAACAGGCTGTGTCATGAGACTGCTAGTATATCTTCCTTATGATTAAGTCTTATGCATACACATAACTTTAAACACTCAAGTATTCCCTGGAAATCTATGGGACATCTATTCAAAAGACTACTCACTTTCTGAAATTAAGCACGTGGATTAATATTGCAGGATCAGGAAAAACCGTGAAAGAGAAAAGATAAGCTGCTGCAAAGTAAAAGGGGCAATGCTTTGAATGAGTGAAAGAGATATTAAAAGTCTTTTTATGTGGAGAACACATCTTGATTATTCCTTTGCTGACAGTGCTATGTTGTTTGTACAAAGTGGCTTTTAAATGTGTTAAATGAATAAAAGTTTTTTTCTATTATTTTAAAAGCTTTTTTAATCTGTAATCTATGTAAGTAGAACAAGAAGAATTCCTGGTATACACATGAACTTCCTGAAACCTATAAAATGAAGATTTAAGAGAAGAATGACTCATTCTCTAACCACAAAGGTAAACTGCCCCTAACTGGTCAAGGAGCAAAAAATCTAGCTTTGTTAAATATAGGGCAATGGTTCTCAACCACCTGACTTGAAGTATCCCTCATTAGACTGAAGTATCCCTGATTAGCCACAAAGAACCCCTCAGAAAATGCCAGCTCTTAGTTCTCACTCATTTTTTGCTTACAGAAAAATAATAGAGCAATTCTGTTTAAAGTACTCAGAAATGGATTCCTATTTGAAATCTTTGGGTTTATCTTGGGAATCATATTTGCACACCTAGCAGTGCTAACATTGTGTGGCACCCTGTAGCACCCTTGAACGAATCTCAAGGCACATCAGGGTGCCACAGCACCCTGCTTGAGAATCGTTGATAGGATTTTTTCAGAAAAAATAGGGCTTTTCCCCTCTTATTTCCTAAGCATCTATTGAAAATAAAGTATATAAATAAATTCATTCAGGCCCTGATATCCAATGGGACTTCTTTAGTAGCTAAAGGTTTGCGAGGCTGATTCCATAGATAAGACATTTGCTTATACATAGAATTGAAAAACCCAGTCTGTTTTACTTAAAGTCATAGGATCATTGGAAAGTAGGACTGGAAGGGACCTCACAAGCTCACCTAGTTCAGCCCCCTGCTCAGGATTTGAATTTTAATAATTATTAATATGTTTCTTGATTTTTAATTATTTCACTAATAAGCCCTCACATTTCCCAGGCCAAATGCAAACTAATCACTGGAGTTGAGCCCTTGAGATTTATCTTAATGATTTCTGTTTAATCACAAACCCCTCCTCAGTCATTCAGATTTGGTGATGAAGTCTGGAAAACCAGTATCCAGAGGACAGCTATTAGAACCACCCCCAGTCAATTCACACTTTTAAAGGGCAGTGCTTCCTACTGTGAATAGCCCTAAAGGCTAAGTACAGACAGTCAAGAAGCCCAAGGCTGAATTGATTCGAGCTCTGCAGGTTAGTCTAAGCTGCATAGGTTGAAACAATAAGCAAGTGAACAGATATTCACTTTCAATTCCAGAAATGAAGCCACACACCAGCAGTGGCCCAGGCCAGAAGCTGAGGACAGCTAGAGCATGCCTCCCTGCTCAGCTGGAACAGACAGCTTGGGCAATGACTAGCCCACCCACCCTGTGACCAGGAGTTTTCTGGAGCTGTGGAAAGATTCCGGGTGCTGAGGGATTGTGAGTTAACTTGACTACAAAAGGGATCTGGGACAGAAGTTCAATACACTGATTTAACCTAAATCAGTTAGCTCTGATACTATGTCTACCCAGGTTTACCTTAAACCAGTTTCAGGCATTTTGAAAGTGGTTATGTGCGCTGAAGTTCTGGTGTATTACAGATTTGAACTAGTTTCCTAATACCAGTTTATGCGTAATTTCTGTCCCTAGCCAAAGTGACTGTTAACTTCCTATCAACAGACTGCCAGTTGCTGAACAAAGCTTGACAGAAGGGCTAGGTACAGACAGTCAAAAAGTCTGAGGCTGAATTGATTCAGTCTTTGCAGGTCAGTCTAAGGTGCACAGATTAAATTGAAACAGAGGGGAAGAGATATTTACCTTTCATTCAGGAAATGCAGCCACATGCCTGCAGTAGCTCAGACCAGAAGGTGGGGGCAGCTAGAGCAGGCTATCTGGCTGTGTGTTCACTTCCTCTCCCTACTGCCCCTGAGGTCTCTGGGATTTGCAGTCCAGAATTACAGCAGCAGGACTCTGCAGGGTTCTCATGACTTCTTCCTGCTTCCAGGTTCCTCTGGGATTTGTAGATTTCCTGGCTCCCATGCTAAAAAATAAAAACAAAGCACACTTCTGACTGAGGCCATTGATTTTGTTGCTACTAGAGACAGAGGATGGGTTTCTTTGCTCTTGCTGCCTGAATAGGACGAAAGAATTACTGTACACAATATATCCTTATCTTTTTTTGTTGCTGTCTTAGGCAGTGACTCCTGTGTCTCTATGAACCCTGCTGGAAAAAGTAGAAGTTTGAAACTGTCAAAGACATTAACTTGGGACAAGGAGAACACTGGCTTCCACCAATCCCCACTCAAAAAACTAAAAGACTGAAAAAGTACCAATGTTAGTGATGGTATAACACAAGTTTTTCTGGTCCCCATGGAACAAAACCTGTAGTGCCTTACTTGCTGCCAATAAATGTGGCCTACGCAAACTAAACTCTGCACTATTCCCATGCAACCAGTAAGCCTTCCCTATCTATTCAATATGAGAAGCCGCCAAGAAGATTGTCAATTACAATAGAAGCTTTGAAGATACAAACACTAGACTGAGACCAGTCTCAGGCCAAAACCAAAGCTCATTTCACAAAAGCCAGAAAGAGCTCTCAGAGTGTCTCTGTTTTCAGTCACCAATCTATTGGTGGCCTTGAGGCCAAAGATTCTCTCTCACATTCAGACTCCCCCAACCAGAAAGCTTAATTTCAAGTCCTGGTTACTTCTGTAGAGACTTTTGTGACCTAAGGAAATCGGGGGGGGGGGGTTCCTTATTCAAATTACAAATGTAACATCAAAATGTGTTTTTCCCCAAGCAGTCTAATTGCAAACACAGGCAAAACAAGAGAAGAGACCTGTTCTGGGCAGATTGATCCCACCTGTCAGCCTTCAAAGTTATCAGTGAATTTATAGAAGTCATTAAAGTGACCAGCATAAAGAATGACTGTATGTACATCATTAATGACAAGTTGTAATGGCTATGAAGCATAATAAAATAGCTAAATATTTATTACTTTATCATATAAAACCTGGTTTTCTGGAGATATCATCACTGCATATATGAACTTAACCCAGGGGTAAGCAACACCCAGCACACATGCCACACTCTGGCATGAAATGACATTTTGTTTGGCGCACATGCCTCAGGGAGGATGGCAGGGGAGCAATCCTTGTCATTGTGGTGCAACCCCAGTCCCTTCCCTGCTACCCACTTTGGCTATGAGCCAAGCAGGGGCTCTGCGAACCCTGGTACAGCTGCTTGCAGCCTCCCTGCTGCATGCTACAAGCAACCCAGTCTTCAAGGCAGGCAGCAGGGGCTTGTCCAAATTCCAAGCCAGCTGTGGCACACAGCTGGGAGACTGCAAGTGGCTGTACCGGGGTCTGTGCCGGGTTCATTGCTGACAGTAGGTACACACATGCCTCAGGGCAGATGGTGGGAAATAGCATGGGGCTGCACTGCCACAACAAGGATCAAGCCCCTGGCGGCTCCCCTGCCATCCACCACTGGCATGCCAACACTTTACAAGTTGAGGTTACAGATGTTTTTGGCACTCTGCCCAAAAAACATTGCCAGTCCCTGCCTTAACTAGTTTTTCAATTTGGAACAAGCTGCTTTCCACTAACATATTGCACAGTGTGACACTGATTTACATAAGCATATTACATCCATTTTGGAATGTAGCATGAATGGAGTGGATGTACTGTGCCTCACTGTAATGCTCCAAGTGCAGGTCTTTTAACAGTATAGATGTGCCTTCTGAGTCAAGTCCAGTCTCTGCTATTGCAGACAATCACATTATAAAATCTCTTTCACTAAGTAATCAAGCTCCATTTCAATATTACATATGTTTCTTGCTCCAACTCCTGAGACTAGTATACTGTTACATGATCTTGCTCCTCCGATGTTTCAGAAATTTCTGAACATCATGTTTCTGATGCGAATAGTTTCAGAAGTCAACATCTAAACTAGTTCCAAAATCCATATTTAGGTACCTAACTAAATGATTTTCAAAATTTGAAGAAACCATCTAAGCCAAACTGTTCTAGTAACACATTCATCCAAGAAAATAAAAGGAGAAAGGTGCCAGAACTAAACCCACTTAAATTTCTGACTTCATCAGAAATCACTTCATATCAATCACTTCATAATCAATCACTTCATATTGCACTGTGGGACCAGCAGATCTGATATCTGCCTTGTTCATTTTTTCTCCAACTGTCTAGAAAGCTCTATCTTAATATAATCTTGCATTTGAAATATAATATGAATCTGGTTAGTTTGGTCTAAAGTAGATGTCAAAACTGATTTTATAATACAATGATTCAATATTAATTAACTAGGGTTAAGTGGTAGTATTTGGGTGATGTTGTACCTGTGATAGCCCAGGAAATATGTGACAAACTTTTAAGTTTATCTCAATCATGCAGCTGGTCCAATAAAATATATCACTGACAAAATCCTTGCCTCTCATATAAAAAGGAGTAAGTTTTTCTTCACGTGTGTTTTGCTACCAAATATCCAATGGTAAGTTTTCGATAGATAGGAACAGTCCATTGAAACAGCTATCACAGGCACTAGGAAAAATAAAGTGCAGCCAGTATTAAACAGGAACCCCCTTAAATGCTCCTAATAATAATATTAGAAACAGTTCAACTGATAATCTTAATGGACTTTCTGTTAGACAAATCATAATTTCAAACTATTTTAATTGTACCCATTAATAGCTTGTGATGATTCAGTAATAAAGAAATCAAACCCCCATCTGTGCTGCAACTAGAGATATACAAACTTTAGAAGGTTTATTGATACTCATCCTTATGCCTTAAATTCAACCTAGACAAACTGTCTTAAATTCAACCTGTGATGACATAAAAAGTCATCACAAACTTTCAAATATTATTTCTCTTCTTTCAAAATGAGGTTTACTCAAAACATTTGATGATGTTCACTCAAAAGTCATTCTATATTGGCTGAAATTTCAGGAAGCTGTTTTCAATTTTTAAACTACTTCCATACAGATTAAGATAACAAAACTCTTTGTAACAGGGCACTGGCCCTGGACCCTGTTACAGTCTGGGCATGACTGCCGAAATGGAGCCTACCCAGGGAATTGCTTGGGGCAAGGGGCACTGCAGCGTGCATGAGCAAGCCACAGTGATGTATCCCCACATGGCTGGTAGAAGCAGAAGAGGCCAGTTGGCATATGACCCACCACTGGTGGTGGGAACTGGCTTCCACTGTTCTCTTAACTTCCAGCAGAACACTAAGGAGACAACCAGCAGAGTGGAATCCCTTGGTAAAGGGAAAATACAGGGAGCAGTACTGGAGCCAGAGTCAGCACAGAACCTGGGATCAGGGCTCAGTCGGAGCCCTGGAGCACAAGAGGCTGGCAAATTCAAGAGAGAGACTAGAGATCCCTGACCAGGGGAATCAGAGCTGGCCTGGAATATAAGTAATAAAAATCCACTGACTACTAGGGCAAGGAAAAGAAAGCCAGTGGGAGAGAGACAGAAAGAGAGGGAGAAAGAGAGTCAGGCCTGGGAGCGACCTGGGTAGGTGGGACCAGGAATAGATGAAGACAGATTTACATAGATGGGTAGGAAAGACCCAAGGGAAAAGGGAGGAAATAAAGGAAGCAACCCAAGAACCATGCCTTAGGTACTTAAGCTGACATTTAGCGGTGTGGGTGACCACAACCAACCAGACTAGGAAAACCAGATGTTGGCAGGTGAAGCAGATTCCTCTCCAGCTTAGTGAGACAAACTGACCTAAATTGGGAAAATCCAAGGGTGAACATAAAGCAAGGGGGTTTCTATTCCCACTGGGAGCAAGGCTGGACACTTGAAGCTGGTGGGTCAGAAGAGGGCTAGGGCTGTAACTGACCCCTAATTGGACACACCTGGGATTTGGCTATCAGCCAAAATATGAGCAAGGTGTGGAACAGGACAGGATGTAGGGACAGAGCAGCCCTGTGAAGAGCATCGCCAACCTAGAGCAACATCGTTGATTACTGGCAACATCCTATCTCCCTCCTTTCTTAGTATTACAACATCAAGGCATGGCAGGAGAGGAAAGAGGGGGCCGATGGTGATCATGCAAGAAGGAAAAACATCATCGAGAGAGACATTTCGCTTACACTCTTACACAGGTCTAGCAACAAGTAGTTCATATGGAAGAGATCTACTTCATTGACCACAATATTTAATTTAAATATTGTATCAATATTGCATAATTAAAATATTGCATGAACTCATGTAAGAAACTGACACTTTACTTCCTTACCTCATCACAAGGCCAAGTTAGGGTTTTCAAAAAGGTTAATACTACAAATGGTTGGGGTTAATATCTGTTAATAGCTATTGGAGTGAACTGGTAATTTATCGTTCTAGCAAAATGCTCAAGTAGGACATAGGACTTGGTAGAGGCAACAGTTTTAACTATGATCTCTCTGTAGGTACTAGGAAAATAATACTCATATAAACCTGAATACTATTCTACGTATCTTAAATTAATCTGGAAAAATAATAGTGAATTAGGTCAAAGAAAGATCCAGGCACAATATTAGTAAAAATGGGAGGACTGGGGTGGTTCTGCCTTATCTTCCCCCTACTTTTCGATTTGGCTAACAGCAAAGCAGAGTGTGTAGTGACCATGACATCACATTGGGCTGAGATCTGGTGGAAAAGGAATTAGTCATGCCACATCTCCTTTTTCTTGTAGGAATCCTGTCTTCACAGGCAATCTTGCCCCCACCTCCCTCCTGAGCACTGGCAGTAAGGGACACACATTGCAGGCAACACCCACTTAGCACTCTTACTTGGTTCCAGAAAAATCAAGTGCTAAGCAAACAAAGTTAAGTGAAACTTATTTTCCCATAGGGATTAATGTAAATAAATATAATTGCTTGCATACCAGCTGCCAGCCCTGGCCCTGCCACTCCCAGCAAGTCACTGCACAGGCTCTGCCAGGGAAGGCATTGGCTCCTCCTGGTCTTATTGTTCCACTGCCGCAATG